AAAGGTTCAAATTTATTTATTCTTATTCTGAATTTTATATTCAATTAAAAATTGTGATTAACAAATCCAAATTCTAAAAAAAAATTTCGTTTATTTCTAAAAAAACAACACTTGTAATTTTATTATAAAATCGTAATTGAGAAATATAAATGGTTCAAATTTATTTATTCTTTAAAAAAAATATTCTCAATTTTATATTCAATTAAAAATTGTAATTGACAAATCGAATTTCTAAAAAAACAATTCGTTCATTTCTAAAAAAACAACACTTGTAATTTTGTTATAAAATTGTAATTGAGAAATAGAAATAGTGCAAATTATTCTTTTTTGAAAAAAAAAAAACAAAGCAGAATTTTGTTAAAAAATTGTGATAAGAAAATTATTTTTTAATTTATTCTGTTAAAAATATTTTCTGTATATTTTTCTCTTCTTTTTAGAAAATAAAATATAAAAAGTCGAGAATTATTGCAAAATATATTATTCACCAATTTTGAAACTATTTAAAAATACAATTGAACGCTTTTGTGTAAGAAAATATTTTTTTACTGAAAATTTTCGAAAAATGACTTATTTAAAAACTATTTTATAAACAATTGAAACCTCTACAAAAATACGTTTTCAGTTTTATACAAAACCGATAATTCAAAATCTTATTATAGGTACTTGGAAGCACTTAAAATTTCTTTTTCATTAATCCATTTTGATTTTCTTCGAAACTAGTTTAAAATATTTATATTTCAAAACTTATTGGAAACATAATTTGAACTTATTGGAAATTATTTCAAAAAAATGTATTTCGCACTTAACTGCAATCTATTTTGAACCTCTTAAAAGGGACATTTTTGAAATGTAATTTCTGCGCTTGTCAAAAACAGAACTAAACAGTCTCTGAACTAACTAAATTGGTCTAAAAACCATTTTATATACATCTTTTCATTGATTTTTCTACGTAATAATTTTTAACAGTCCATTTTGAGTGTATCGTCAATAATAAATTTTAATGATCAATTAAAAAGTATCGGAAAATGATTAATAAATTTATAACATTATAACTGACCTTTTCTTTCAAACTGACCTCTTTAAAGAGAATATAAATACGAACCAATTTAAAAACTTTAAATTTCTTTTTTTTCCCCTAAATAAAAACCTTAAAAGCAGGGATAGTTTAAAAAAAACTAAACCTGATGCCAAAAAGTTTTTCTCACAAAAACATTTAAAGAATTTGAGGAAAAAAATCTTTTATAAAGGAATCAATAAAAAAAAACAAGTAGGTAACATTTCCTTTTTATGTGCCTTCGACATATCGTCGATCTGCTTTTTTACAAACCGAAAGTTCGTTTTATTTGAAATTGCAGGACTTTAAAAGAATTACGCGTTTTTATTAAAGGCATCGAAATGAATTGCAGGAAAAAGAATGTGAGAGAAGTTCCGGATAAAAAACTAAGCGGTCAGTTTCAACTAAAGTGAAAGAGAAAGATTGAGAGGGAAACGCAATAAAATATTGCTCGACTTCAACTTAAATCAGCTTTCCGTTTCGATAATTGTCTTATTTCTCGTTTTTTCTTTCGTGAAAAGCAGTAAATATAGTAATATACTTTAATACAGTATATATACGTTTTTATGTTTTCCTTGATGCACTTTTCGTTTGAGTAAGTTTACTTTTAGAAACCCGATTCTGTTTGCATTTTTAGCACGGCTCCTCGCGCGCAGTGAAAAAGATTTCGTCTTCAGAGAGTTTCACTGACTATTCCCTTAACACTTTTCAAGTAAATTCCTGTTTTTTTTCTCAAATAGTATGTACTTCTTTAATGTAAAATTTCTCTCAATCAGCGTCAATTGAATTCCCATCACATATCTAATAAAATATTAAAGTTCTTTTAATAGTATATATTTTTAATAGAGAGTAAATATTTTTAATAGTAAATATTTTTGACATTAAATATTTTTAATATTAAACATTTATCATAGTGAATATTTTTAATAGTAAATATTTATAATAGTAAATATTTTTAATAATAAATATTTTTGATAGTAAATAGTTTTAATGGTAAATGTTTATAATAGTAAATATTTATAATTCATGGAAAATTTTTAAAAATTTTATAATCAATATTAATTTTATATTGATGAATCCGCTTCTGGATTTTACAACTTTTTTTCCTTAATTTTGTTGATAATCATATTTTTATTTAAGAACGATTTAATAGAGTTGAATTTAATATTTATTTAATTTTTAATTTCTTTGATAATAATCTCACAGGCTTCATAACGACTTTAATCTGCACAGAAAGTCGCATTAGTCGATTAAAGATACAGAAAAAAAAAATGAAAAAGTCGCTTATTTCATTCTCTGTTGACATAAAAATTTCATTTTATATTTCCTTGACCTTTTCACTAATTTTAAAATTCAATTATTCAAAACCTGAGAAATTTTGTTAAATAAATGCATAATATAAAAAATTACAATTTTAATCCTTCCAAATCTTAATTATTTTCTAAAAATTTTGACTAAAATTGTTCTCTAAATCAATGATTTTTAATAATTTTCAGAACAATTCTTTGAGAATTCAATTATTTAAACACAAAAATTCAATTATTAATAATAATAAAGTACATGTTCCGGTAATCTGTTCGCAGTTTGAAGTTAGTTGTTGTTTGCTTTTTTGTTTCTTAACTTTTTTAGAATTTTTCCTTTCTAATATTTTCAATTTTAAAATTAATGTATTGAAAATCATTGAATTGTTGCAAAGAATTTTATCAAAACATTTGATAATAATAGAATTCCTTTAAAGAATTTTATTATTTAGGAAAATAACTGAATTCTCGCGAAGAATTTTATTAAAATTTTTAAAAATCCTAATTAAATTCTTTAAAGAATTTAATTTTTTTCAAAGAATTTCTTTGAATTTTTTTTAAACTAATGGAGTTTCTTTAATAATTTTAATTGAAAATTTTGAAAGCAATTGAATTTTATGAAGAATTTTACTATTTATAAAAATAATTGAATTGTTCCGAAGAATTTATTAAAATTTTTGAAAATAAATAAATTTTATGTCAATATATATAAAAATTTTAATTCTTTCGAGGAATTCTATTAAAATTGTTTTGAAAATAATTGAATTATTGCGAAGAATTTTACTAATTATGAAAATAATTGTAATGCTTCGAGGAATTTATTAAAATTTTAAGAAATAATTAAATTGTTATGAAGAATTTTATAGAAATATTTAAAAATAATGAAATTTTCTCGAGAAATTCAATTAAAGTTGTTTCGAAATTTAGAATTGAAAATTGTTTCGAAAATAATTGAATTTTTGTAAAGATTTTACTATTTAAAAAAATAATTGAATTGTTTAGAAGGATTTATTAAAATTTTAGAAAATAATTGAATTCTTTCGTGAAATTTTATTAAAATTTTTTAAAATATGAACAGTAATAATTAGTTTTCTACTTAATAAGTGAATTTTTTAAATTTTAATTATGAAATTATTTAAAAAATTTATATTTAAAAATAAAAAATTTTATAATTTGCATAACAATAATAAATTGAATATCTCGTTCCGCGCGTAACATTTGCTAGTTTTTTATAAAGTTTGTAACTATAACTCGCTTCAATGTTTTTTTAGTTTTCAAGGTCAATAATTAAAAATATGTTAAAAAATATATATTAAATACCTGTAATTTAGTAAAATTTTTTGAAAATAATTTAATTTTTTTGGAAAAATATTAAAAACATAATCAAATTTTTGAAGAATTTTAACTAAAAATATGAAAATAAATTATTTTTGCCAAAATTTCAATAATAAAGCTAAAAAAGTAGATTTTTCTTAAATTTCAATTTATTTTTTTAATGAAAATTCAATTCAATAAAATTTTGATAAAAAAATGCTAAGAAATATGCTTTTCAAATTATTGTAATGTAATTAATTGAATTTTTTAACAGTACGTTTGAACATCTTTAAAAAATCAATCCATTTTTTTTTAAGAATTTTAATTAAAACTTTGCAAAATCGCTTTCTCTAAAATAATAATAATAGGGTACATACCTGGACCAAAAAATTAGATTTTTTAAAAGTTAAATGTATATATTCTTTAGAAACTTGGATTATCGAAAATATGTAATTAAAAATATTAAAAATAATTGAATTTTAAAAAATTCTTACAAAAAATTCTAAGAATGACTTTTTTTGAAAATATTTTAATATAATTTTTTGAAGTTAATTTTTATTAATTTTCATTTTCAAATTTTCATTTGAAGATTTTTCATTAAAAATTTTGAGGTGAATTAAATTATTTTCAAAATTGTCAATTACAATTCTACAACATTTAATGTTTAAAAATTCTAAAAAAAATCCATTATTTTCAATAAAATGTTACAAAATTTCAATAATGCAAAACTTTTTTAATTACATATTTCAAAATTTTAATTATCTTAAAAAATTTATTCCAATAATAATTTTTGAAATATTTGACTATTTTTCACATAACCATAGAAAATAGGTACTAAAAATTGAGTTATTCAACATTTTCACAATATTAGTTTTAAAACATCAAAATACTTCTTTAAAATTTCCTTTTAAAAAATTAAAGAATATTTTGAAGAAATTCTTTCAAAGAATAGCAGCAAGAAAATGTTCGTAATTTTTAATTAAATTTTCTAATTAATTTTTGCAATCAAGATATTTGATAGCAAGGCAGCAAAAGCATTTATCATTTTGTAAAGAACAAAATTTTCTTTTATAAATCCCCTTTCGTGAGTAGGTATCAAGTATTCGAACTACACTCTTTTGCAGAGAAAAAAAATGAATGTAAAGAAAAAAAAGTGGGAGAAAAATATGGTGAAAAATAAATTAGAAAAAGGGTCCAAGTTTGAAATCAATTAAATTCAAACAATTAATTATACGAGTTAACAAGCAGAATGTCTCTGATTGAATAGATGTTTAAAGCAAATTGTGTTTTGATTGTTTTGAACAATTCTTGTTTGAAGTTAAATTAGTTACCTTATTTTGGCTGACGTCGTGTAAAGTGAAGGTGGTTTCCCTCCCATTAATTAAAAGGTCGAAGGCGAGAGTTCCATGTGCGGGTAATATTAACAGCGTAAATATAACATTGCTCTCTCCCATTTTATATTTGGCAATGTCCAACACCATCGCTATGTTTTCTCTCGTTAATGTCACGTTACCTCCTTCAAGAACTGACAACGGATTGAGATCCAACAATCCCAAATTCACCGGCAAATTCAAATTTGAATTATTCTGTAACAATACAAAACATTTTTAATAAGATTTGATGTATTTATTTTCTAATTCTAATATCAATTTTCTAATTCTAAAATTATTATCTGATTATCGTAGTAATATAAAATCGTCAATAATCTAACACTACGCAAGTTTACTACAAAAATATTAAATCGCTTTCCTCTGATTTCCAAACAGAATTTTGACTTTTTTCCTGCTATAAAAAAAATTCAAGAGTTCATTTATAAAAAAAATCATTTTTATAAGTGAAAATTAGATTTAAAACTATGTAAGAGTGTCTTTTTATTTTAAAAGATTTTGTTTCAAAATTTTTAATACAAATTTTCAATTATTTTCAAAGATTTAAATAAAATTGTTCGCAAGAATTCAATTATTTTAACTAAATAATAAAATTATTTGCAGAAATATAATTATTTACATAAATTTTAATAAAATTCTTCGAATCAATTCAACTATTTTCAAAAATTTTGATAACATTCTTTACAAGAATTGAATTTTTTCAATACAATTTTAATTAAATTCATCAAAAGAATTTAATTATTTTAAAGAATTACAGTAATATTCTTTAAAACAATTAAATGATTTTCAAAAACTTTAATAGGTAATATTTTTTATGAATAATAAAATTCTCCGCAATAATTCAATTATCATAAATAATAAAATTCTACGCAGGAATTCAAATATTTTCAAAAATTTTATTTAAATTCTATGCAAGGTTGAATTATCTAATTTTTCCCAATTCCATTTTTCAAAACAAACCTTTAATATTTTCAATATAATTTTATAACATTTTTTTAAAACAATTCTTATATGAATTCAGTTCATTTCAAATCAATTATAATTAGATTCCTGAAAAGAAATTTAATTTTTATTTTAAATTAAAAAAAATCCTTCAAAAAAATTCAATTACTTTAAAAAATTTTAATAAAATTCTTTATAAAAATTTTTTTGAATAGAATTCTAATTAAATATTTCGAAAGAATTTAATTATTTTACAGAATTTTAGTTACATACACCAAGAGAATTCAATTATTTTTATGAGTAATAAAATTCTCCGCAAGAATTTAATTATTTTCAAAAATTTTATTAAAATTCTACGCAAGATTGAATTAATTTTTCTTAATTTCATTTTGCACGCAATTTCACTAAAGAATTCAACTATTATTTGAAAAATGTTATTAAATTTATTTGTAAGGATTCAATTATTTTCAAAAGTAATGAAACATTTTGCAAAAATTCAATTATTCTTTTAAATAATAAAATTCTCCGAAAGATTTCAATTATTTTTGTAATATAATAAAATTCTATACAAGAATTCAATTATTTTCAATACAATTTTAATAAAATTTTTCAAAACAATTCTTATGTGACTTCAATTCATTTCAAATCAAATTTAATTAAATTCCTCAATAGAATTTTATTTTTATTTTTAATTAAAAATAAATTTTAAAAAATTCTTCAAAACAATTCAATTATTTTAAAAAAATTTTAATAAAATTCTTTAAAGAATTCTCCTCAAGAATTCAATTATTGTCATAAGTGATAAAATTCTCTGCAAGATTGAAATTAATTATTTTTATAATTTTCATAAATACTAAAATTCTGCGCAGGAATTCAATTATTTTTAATACAATTTTTAAAAAATTGCCCCAGTGAGAATTTAATTATTTTCAAAAATTTTATTAACATTCTATGCAAAATTGAATTAATTATTTTCAATTTATATGTGATTTTTGTTTTGTTCAATTTAATTCAATTTCATATTTTCAATTTAATTTTCATACAATTTCTCTAAAGAATTCAATTATTTTAATTTAATTTAATTATTTTATTAAATAATAACATTCTATCCAAGATTTCAATTATTTTTATAAATAATAAATTCTACGCAGGATTTCGATTATTTTTAATACAATTTTAATAAAATTTTTCAAAAGAATTCCATTGTTTTTAAACATTTTAATAAAATTCTTCTGGAAAATTCAAATATTTTAATAAAATTTTTTAAAAAAATTTAATTATGTTTGAAAAAAATTTATTCAATTTTTCTGTCGAATAAGAATAAAGAAAGTAAGAATGACAGAAAAGTAATTACAAAAAAAGTTTCCAATTAAAAATAAGTGATGCAACAAAATTGCTTTGTAAAATGTCACTAATTGTAAATAATTTTATTTTATCTTCAATTATTATTTTTTTTTAGTTTGTTAATTGACAGTATTGCCCGTCGAGTATTCTATGAGAGAAATATCACGAATGGGAATTTTAAATACTAAACATCGATGAGATGCAAAGTGTAAACATTTTAAAAAGATTTTTTAGTTTACATACTTCTTTTCGAATTAATTATTCAAGTGCAGATAGTTTTATCGAGAAGCACTTCACTAGCTTTCAGTTAAAGTTCACTTTGCACCGTAATGTCGGAGAAGTTATAAAAAGAAGGTTTCAAGAATCTTTCTTTCTTTCTTTTTTTTCGCTGGTTGATTAATAGATCCCGGCTCCTTGTCTTGAATTAAGAACTCACATTATGTCTGTTTGATTATTCAAGCAAGCAAAAAATCTCTCCACGTTCATAATATCAAATTAATGAACAAACTTTTATTCTCATAAAACAAAATTTACCCAAATTTTCTTTTCCAATTTTTGTTTCTTGAAATTTATAATAAATTTTATATAAATTTCGTTTCCAATGAAAAGTTTCAGACTTCTAATATTATAGAATATGGGAAAAACTTAAAAATTTACAAAAGTAAATTTTACTTTTTAAATCACTTGCATAAGGCAGGATATTAAAATTTTCATAATATTTACATGAGGCGGCTAATTGAAATAAGTAAAAATAAAAAAGAAAATCTGGTTGTTCTATAAAATCTACGTAATGTGCTGATCATTTATCTTTGAAGAAGAATTGTTAGAAAATATGGGTCAAATGATATTTCTCGTCAAAATGATTTATAGTGAAAAGTTTTGCTGATAATAATAAAGGACAAAGTTTTTTTTCCTTCCCACTTTTTTTTTAAAAGAAATTTAGCGTTGTGCAAAATAGGTCACAAATAGTCGAACTGTTGCTTCATAATGAACATATTGATTTTATAAAAAAAATACCTTTTTTTTCATTGATGTTTTTCTACTACAAATTACATTGTCAGGAGAGCTGACAATTGCAATTCAGTTTTACGGGAAAAATACGTTAAAAATATATTTTTAAAAAATAATTTAACAACCAATTTGTAGTAAAATACTGGACGAGAATGTACCAGAATTTTTAAAATTGTAAATAGAAATAGAATGAATTTTTTTTTTTTTTGAAGATACATTTTATTTGTAACAGTGATTGACGCTATTATTTTTTCAAAACTTAAAAAATTCAATTGTTTAAATAACTATTGTTAATAGGAATAATTTTAGAGCAAGAAATGGAATCTTTCGTTTTTGTTTCTTTTCACAAGAAAAAAAATGAATTTTGAAATAAAAAAAATTAAATAACAATGATATTTTTTTAATCATTCTCAACCTAAAAACAATGTTTGACAAAATTTCTCAAAATTTTTTTTTTTTTTTCTAAATTTTTTCTTTTTTATGTTCAAACCAAACTTTCAGAACCAGTTGGGTCAGAATTCGTGAAATTTTCACGAAAAATAAAAAGTATTTTTTTTTAAATCCAAATGTTGAAAAATATTTCTATTTTGCCTTAGAAATGAGTCTATGATAGGACAGAAACAAAAATTTTTAAAAAAAAATTATTGCAAAATTAATTTTTTTTGAAACTTTTTAAACAAAATTTTATTTCTCTTAAATGAATGAACCAAGCGGTACCCAAGTAACCTGTAAGTTTGCAGCAAACTTACACCACAAGATTTGCAATCTTACACGTAAGCTTGCTGCAAGTTTGTTGCAAGTACAAAAAGGTCCTACTTGCTGCAGGATTGCACAGCAAGCTTAGGACAAGCCAACACTGCAAGTTTCTTGAAAATTCCCAAATATTTAATTATATAATATTAAGCAAATTATTTAATATTTAATTTTTATTTAATTTTAATATATTTAATATTTATTTAAAATAATATAATGGTAACAACGTTATAATAAAAATGTCATTAATTTCTCCAATCCACAGAATTGTAGTTGTGTACTATTATCCGTGATCAGTGGATAATAGTAAAAAATTGTAAACGTATAATTTTCAATTTTATCAATTTTTTTTTTAAATAATTGAATTCTTTTGCGAAATTTTATGAAAATACTAGATATTGAAAATAATTGAATTTTGAATACTTTTTAAAAATAATTGAATCGTTTTAAAGAATTTGATTATAATTTTTAAGAATAATTTTTTGATTTCTAGTATTAGCGAATTAAAAGTAGTGGAAATTCTCAAAAAAAAAAAAAAAAAAAATAGAAGCTTTTAGTGGCTGAAATCGAAAAAAAGTACCCAATTAGTTGCGTCATATAAAAAAGTAGTAAATAGTAGGTTTTAGTAGATGAGTGCGAAGCCTGCACATCTTTATACTGTATTTTGCAGACGATTACAGGACAAAAAATCCATTTCAAAAAATCCAGAATGAAAACTCCAAGAAATAAAGTCCAAAGTACAAAAAATCCAAAACATAAATGTTCAAAGTCAAAAAATCCAAAATAAATAAAAACGTCGAAAATAAATAATGAAGCCTGTGAAAAAGCCACGTTTTTACTTTTTACGCTATAAAATTAGAATTTAAAATGTTAATGTTAAAATCGCAGGATTTTAATTATTTACATAAATAATAAAATTCTTCACAAAAATTCAATTATTTTCGTAAATAAAAAAATTTCTAAAAAAATTTCAATTATTCTATAAAATTTTTAAAGCAATTATTCCAAGAAATACAATTATTGCCAACAATTTTGATAAAATTCTTTAAAAATATTCAATTATTTTTTTCAATATAATTATAATTCCAATTAAATTACTCGATTAATTTAATTATTTTCAGAAATTTAAAATGTTAAGTTAATCTATTTTTGATTCACATTCATCGAAATGAGCAACTCAAAAACAGGACAATTTCATTCAAGGCAACCATTTAAATTTTTATATCTCAATTTTTTTATTGGATTTTTAATTTCTTTGGACTTTTTGACCAGGACAAAGATTCCAAAAAATAAGCCCATAATGAATCTAATTTTTGTTTACTTTTTCGGATTTCATTTACTTTGGATTTTATGGTTTGAACTTTTTGTTTTGGACTTCTTCTCCGGATACCTTTACAGACAATTGTTGTCCGAATGTCTTTGTTATTATTAACTATCTAAAATTCTTGTTGAACGTAAAAAATTTTGCAGGCTGTCCCATTTGCGTTTTTTTTATTCTAGAAGTACCATAATTAAAAACGCGACTGATGTTAACAACATATTGATATTTGACAGCAATATCAGTCGCATTTTTAATTATGGCACTTCTAGAATAAAAAATAACACAAGTGGAAAAACCTGTAAGCGAGCCTGCAAGCCTTTCTCCTATTTCTAAAAATTATTTTTCGTTTACGTGATATAGAGAAAAGGAAAGAAACTCACTTTGTAGTCCTCTGTAAATGCAGATTTGGTACAAACTGGCTGATTGCAGTTGCATTTAAAAGACGCAACTCCCAGATGAGAGCAGTTGGCACCAAGTGCACAGGGATCAGAATGAAAGCAGGGAAATCCCCAGACGCAACCAGCCAGAATGCCTTGGCTGACCTTCACGTCTGGCAAACCAATTTCCTTGTTATCCAAAAACATGTTTCTTATGCAACCTTTGTAACTCATGTCTCCTGACTTGAGACCTTTGCTGAAAGCGCGAGCTCTTTTATTCAGCTCGGTGCCACCAATGTACAATGTGTCTGCTAGGTCGAGATATCGATTTCCACCTGAAGGCAGTTCCATCATTTTCTTCTGCTTGTCGACAGTGATTCCAATCTTGCTAGGACTAAAGTCGACAACTATGCTATGCCATTTACCATCAGATACTATTGTGGAATGTATCAGTTCTGTTGGTCCATTTCCTTTGTTCATCAAAACCCGTACGCGCCTGTCAAGCAATTCAATGCCTAGGTAATCTGCGTATGTAGATTGACCAGTATTGTAGAGCAGCAATCCACTTTCAGCCGCTGTTTTCAGTTCGAATTTCCAGCTGGAATTAAAAAAGACAAATTTTTATTTTTTTGTTTTTCAATGAATATGCAGAGATTACTTGTCTTTCTTTTAGTAATTAAATATTAGATGCAAATAATATTTTGTCACAATAATAATATACAAAAAAGAAAGATCATTATTAGAATTTTTTTAAATAATTCAATTTCCAAGAAAAAATGTATTACTTTTAAAAATGTTTTTTTATTATTCTTTGGAAGAACTCAATTATTTACAACAATATTAGAATTTTTCACAAGAATTCAATTATTTTAAAATATTCTAATAAAATTGTTCGAAAGAAATGAATTATTTTAAATACAATTTTAATTAACCTTTTTTGAAATAATTCGATTATTCTTTTAGATTTTAATAAAATTCTTCCCAAGAATTCAATTATTTACATAGGAAATAATTCTTCGAAAGAATTCAATTATTAAAGATAAATAACAAAATTATTGTGAACGTATTTAAAAATACGAACTTTACGGACCAAATATGAAAAATTACGGACATTTTACTTAACCCGTTGACTGTCGCTGACGCATATATGCGCAAAACTAAACTGGCCAAAAGTGGTTTATGACGCATATATGCGCAACTTAAAAAAGGTGATTAAAAACTTCTTAAATGTTCCTGAAACCGGTAACTCGGGGGTTTTCGAGGTCGCTGATTACGAATATGACATTCGTTTTCCAAAATTCAAAATGGCAGATCCAATATGGCGGACAACAAAATAAAAAATTGATCAGATTGACTTGAAACGTAGTACTCGGGGGTTTCTGGGGTCGCTGATTACGAATCTGACATCAGTTTTTCGAAATTCAAAATGGCGGATCCAAGATGGCGGAATTTTTTCAAAATTCGTCGAATTTGCTTGAAACTTGTTACTCGGGGGTTTTAAGGGTCGCTAATTACGAATCTAACATTAGTTTTCTAAAATTCAAAATAGCGGATCCAATATGGCGGACAACAAAATAAAAAATTAATTATAATGGCTTGAAACTGAATACTCGGGGGGTTTTAGGGTCGCTGATTACGAATCTGTCTTTATTTTTTCAGGGTATTTATCGAAATTTGATTTTACCAAAAATTATCATACTGATGTCAGATTAACCAGTTTCACACAAATTCAATAAATTTTAAAAAATTTTCCGCCATATTGAACCAGATATTTTGAATTTTGAAAAACTGATTTCATATTCGTAATCAGCGACCCTGAAAATCCCCAAGTATTCAGTTTCAAGCCAATCTGATCAATTTTTTATTTCGTTGTCCGCCATATTGGATCCACCATTTTGAATTTCGAAAAAGTAATGTTAGATTCGTAATCAGCGACCTTTAAAACCCCCGAGTAACAAGTTTCAAGCAAATTCGACGAATTTTGAAAAAATTCCGCCATCTTGGATCCGCCATTTTGAATTTCGAAGAACTGATGTCAGATTCGTAATCAGCGACCCCAGAAACCTTAGGGTACCAAGTTTTATAAAAATCCATTAAAAATTTTTTTAACACACTTTTGGCCCAAACAGTGGAAATCTCGTTGACAGCCAAGGGGTTAAAACTATAAACTAAATTTTGTCATTAACTATAAAACATGAAGATATCGATAACTCCGAGTCCTCGAATCGGAGTGATCGATTTCTTCGTTTTTTATAATAATTAAAGATGACCGAGTGATGAAATCATTGTTATATATTATAATAACATTTTACTTCTTCAAAATAATTCTCATCAATTCAATTCAATTATTATTATTTTTAAAAATTTTTAACTAAAATTCTTCTTTAAATAAATTAATTTTCGAAAAAGTTTTTTGACAATTTTCAAATCCATTTGTTTACAAAATACTTATATTCACTTTTACGAAATTTTGATTATTATTCGTAAATTCTTAAATTAAATATATATTAGAAAATAAAAACTTCAAAAAATTTTAAAAAAATTCAAATTAAACTTTTTCAAAAAAATTCAAGCTATATTTGTTCTAATATTCAATTATTATCTAAACTTTTAACTGAAATCTAATTTTAAATCAATTTTTATCACAAAATTCTACTAGAATTCAATTACTTAAATACAAAAAAAAAGAATTTATTAAATATTTAAATTTTTTTAAAAATTAAATTCTCATTAAAAATTTTCTAAACAAATTTTTAAATAATTAAATTCTTTCGACGATTTTTTATTTAAAATTTTAACTGAAATTTATTTTTAAATCAATTTTTAACACCAAATTCTACTAGAATTCAATTATTTAAATACAAAAAAAAATTCATTGAATATTCAAATGTTTCTTAAAATTGAATTCTCATAAAGATATTTATAAACAAATTTTTAAATAATTGAATTCTTTCGACGATTTTTTAATAAAATTTTTAAGAATAATTACATTTTCCGAAAATTGTATTAAAAATAATTGATATTCTGCGATAAGTTTCATTATTTTTGAAAATAATTGAATTCCTAAGAAGAATTTTATTATACTTTGGAACATAATTAAATTTCTGCGAAGGATTTTATTACCTACTCTTGAAAACAATTAATTTTATGTAATAATTTGTAACTTCTCCAAAATTAATATTTTTTTACTATTTTTAACAGTAAAAATTAGTTAAAATTTTTCTATAAATCCAATATTTTAAATAATTTTTGAAAAAGTTTTTCAAGAATTTTCAAATTTATTTGTTTTTAACAGAAATTCATTTTTAAATCAATTTTTATTAGAAAATTCTACTAGAATTTAATTATTTAAATAAAAAAAAATAATTTATTGAATATTTGAATGTTTCTTAAAATTGAATTCTCATGAAGAATTTAATCAAAAAATTTTTAAATATGTAACTATATTCTTTTGACAAATTTTTTTAATAAATTTTTTTAAGAATAATTAAATTTTTCGAGGAATTAAAATTTTAAATTAAGTTTTTAAAGATTAAAATTTTATTAAAAATAATTGAAATTCTGCGATGAGTTTTATTATTTATGAAAAAAATTGAATTCCTAAAAAGAATTTTATTATGTACGAAAATAATTGAATCCCTGTCAAAATTTTATTATAATTATGAAAATAATTGAATTATTGCGAAGAAATTTATCAAAAATTTGTACCTATCATTAAAAATAAAAAAAATTTTAATCAAGTAGAAAAAAGTATTTCAAAAATATTTTAATTCAAAAATTTCACTATATTTTAATTATTTTCTTTCTGTAAATATTTTTCAATATATATTGAAATGTTTTTTGAATTAAAGACAAAAATTTTGAATTATTTCATAGAAATAAAAAGATAATCGCAATTTAGTATTAACGAATGCATGACTATAAAAAGTATATAAACTTTTCTCATTTTTTTCATGGGATTTAATAAGAAACACTTCATTCCATTCGCTTGGAAAAAAACTGCATAAGTAACAGTAATCTCAACTTTTAGATAGAGAAATCTTCTTGAATTTTGTACTTTGTACTTTTCTTTCAAGAATGTAACGATGCAGAATGAATGAAAAATTTACATTACTAAAAATTACGGCATTATTATTTCTAAATTAATTAAAAGCAGTGACAAATTGATTTAGTTGTCTTATTGTAGAACTTTTTTTTTCATTATTTTATCACAATAAGGTATGAGCTATTAACAATTTATTACAATATTGCGTCACGTATTAAAAAATAATTTATAAACTTTCAAAATGTTTTATTAACGTTTTTGATTTTTATTATAGTCAGTATTTATTATTTATTTATTTCACAATTAACAAATACTTAAAATTTAATTAAGTTAGTTAAAGGTGTAAAAAATTCAGATTTTCAAAGATTTTAATTTGAAACCTTTCCAAAATCAATTAGAAATTAGAATCAATTAGAAAATTATAGGAGAACTCAATTATTTAAATACAAAAATAAATAATTTATTGAGTAATTGAAGTTTTCTTAAAATTGAATTCTAAGAAAGAATTTTATCAACAAATTTTTAAATAATAGAATTCTTTTGACGAATTTTGATAAAATTTTTAAGAATTATTACATTTTTTTGAGGAATTTGATTAAAATTGCATTAAAAATTATTCAAATTCTGCGATGAGTTTTTTTTATTTATGACATATAGCTATTTATAGAAATAATGAAATTATTGCGAAGAAATTTATAAAAAAAAATTTGTAAATAATTGAATTCCTCTGAAAAATTTTTATTATTTATGAAAATAATCAAACTTTTGCATAGAATTAAATTCAATCAAATTTGAAATTAATTAAAAACCTTTTGAAGTTCACCTATTTATGAAAATATATTGTAAACTGAACTCTTTGAAAATTTATTTAATTTTGAAATATTCAAGTAAAATTAATTAATAATTTAATAATTTCGCTGAAAATGGCATAACTGCGATTCCCATAATTGACACAATTAATTTTTATAAAAGTTGATATTTTAGGATTTTATTACTTTTATAATATACAGAACAACAATTTACCAGAGTTTTAATGCATTTCCAGAAAATAAAAATTTTTACTTGATCATTTCACGTGGGAATTGTTCTATATTAGAAGATTTATATTTCGCGAGTGGATGAAATCTAATAGATGTTTGAAGGAATAGTGAGCATTTATAGAAACTGATTTACAAAAAAAGAAAAAAAAAGTAAAAATATTTGATATGTCGTTCGAAATGGTATTATTGTTATAATATTTACCTCGATCCAAAACGAGAAATTTGCTTTGTTATTGCTATAAATGATCCGTCCTCAACGAAACTGATATTTGTTCTCCAAGTGGCATCGAATTCCGGAGAACAACCCCAAGTGACTGCTGTTGGCTCTGATTGGTTCTTTCGCAAACGAGCGTATTCTATTACTTTAGCTCCGTTATAAACGATATTCGCCATACAACCTCTCAAGTATTCCATGTGACCTACAACACAGAGAAAATTCAAATTAATATCACAGTGACCAATTATAAAAATCTTAATTGCAAATTGAAAATTTAACAATACAACTTTTTTTAATTTATTCTAATCTTTATTTTTTTTTCTAATTCAGTATTTCTCTCTTTTTCCATTATTTTAATTTTATTATATTTATTTTTCAAATTTTTTTATTAATACTATTCTCTAAATAATTAACAAGTAATAATTTTATGATAGTTTCCTTCAAGAATTGGATTATTTAAATTAAATTAAATTTTTCTTCTGAATTATAAACATATATTTTTTCAGGACGATTACAGGACAAAAAATCCAATCAAAAATATTCAGACCGAAAAATAAAAGAAAAAATGTCCAAAATACAAAAAATCCAAAATAAAAATGTCCAAAGTCAAAAAATCAAAAATAAATAAAAACGTCCAAATTATTTTCATAAATAAAAAAAAATTTTAGAAAAATTTCAATTATTCTATAAAATTTTTAAAACATTTATTCCAAGATATACAATTATTTTCAACAAATTTTGATTAAATTCTTTACAAAAAATTTCCTTCATGGCAACTATTTGGATTTTTATAACTCAATTTTTTTCAATTGATTTTTAATTTCTTTGGACTTTTTGACCAGGACAAAAAAAAATCAAAAGAATTAATCCAAAAGTGAAACTATTTTTTTTTACTTTCTTGGATTTAATTTACTTTGGATTTTTTGTTTTGGACTTTTTGTCCGGATACCTTTCAGTAGTTTTCATAAAATTCCCTGACCTTTTGTTTTACTATTTTTATAACAAATTTTACTAATTTTGACTAAAATTTAAAATAGTAAAATTTACTCCAATAATAAAATAAACCACACAATAATAATAAACTATTAAATAATTTCACATTGAAAAAAATCGTATAGAAAGATGAAGTAAATAAATCAATAGTCTCGGAATTAGATAACACATTATGACAATGAGAACATGTACGAATTCTGCCTGCATTGTTGAGTTTCCAAAACATAAGTTACGAATAATAAAATAAATAATATTGACTTTATAAAGTTATGATTTATTTTATAATAAAATGATAAATAAAAAAAATTATTACAGTCAAAATATTGTATTACAAACATTTTTTAAATTCCATGAAGTAATTGTTTATTTCTTCATAAAATTATAAACTTTAGAAAAACATATAATTTTATGCGTAAATTTGATAAAACCGTTGAAAAGTTTGACATTTAATTAAAAAATACAACAACACGCCCATAAAAATTAATTTTCTAAACGAATAAATGAATGCAAATATAAATTTGCTAAAGCAATTAGAATCTTCAAATTATAGTACATAGTATTTTGTTCTTAAAATATTTTACAATTAACTTTAAATAATTTATTCTTTTCTTTTAATTATGAATTTAAAAAAATCCGATTTAGAGAGAGGATTTTGTTTCATAAAAATTAAAGTGCAAATATAACAGTTATATTTGCATAGATAAACAAATATTTATTTACTGAGAGAAAATTATTTTTCCTCTTAATGTAATAAAATTAAACACTGTTTTAATGGATAATTAAATTAAAATAGTAATTAAACTCTATGCATTTAATGTTTTATACATAAAGTTTATTTATTATATTAATTGACAATTTAGTCATAAAGTAATAGAAGTATTAAGGGTTTTTTGGTGAGATTATTTCCAACTTGAAAAAGATAAAGGAGAATGAGAAGAGACTATAAACTGTGTGTGTGTGTGTGTGTCTCTGGGTTTGTTGAATTCAAAGGCCATCCTAAAATCCAATTTACATATTCACGAAAATTCATTTGTTTACCGTAGCAGCGCGAAACAATGTGATATGGGTTTTGAAATTCTTATTCGTCCTAAATAATTCCAAACTACTATTATAAAGAGAAGATTATGCGACAATTTCTTATCCTCTTTTGTTCCAAAAAAAAGTGATATCAAAAGAATAATGCAATTTGCTTTATGATAAAATGTAAAATACAAGTATGATAAAAAATAACCAACATTTAATATTATACAGGAAAATGAAAAATTATATTGCATTAAATGTACGTAATTTAATTAGCACTCAAAATATAATTGATACTAATAAGAATTGAAAAATTATTATTATTATTAATTAATTATAACAATCGTCGTATTCTGTTCAGTCTGTCCACACTTGAAGTTAGACTTTTATGCTTTTGTTTTTTTGATATGTTTTGTTAGATAATATTATACCAATTTTCTTTTTTTTTGGACTATTTTTTAATTTAATAATATTATCTTTATTTTTCAAATAATTCAAAAATATTTTTATTAATGTTATTATTCATTATTTCTTTGTTTAAAAAAAATTAGCATCTTGTAACAAAAGTTTTAGGTAAGTAACAATTATATAAATCCTGCAACATATTATCCTTTTTGCTTCCTCGCGAGGAAGCTTTGTAGTCGTTTAATTTACAAAATTTTTAAAAATCCTTTTAACAAATTTTCTTCTATATAGGACTATGTTATTTAAGACCCTGAACAATTGTCCGGATGTATGTATGGATGTGTGTGTATGTGTGTGTGTGTGGATTCCGATTTTTGTGAACACGATAACTCGAAGAGGTTTTTACGAATTTGGCTAAAATTTACCAGGCATATTTATCATAAAAATATCTCGAAATAGACTTTAAAAAATTCTCAGAAAAAAAATTTTTTTTGTTTTCTAAAAAATTTTTTTTTTCAAAAAAATTTTTTTAAGTTGGTTATTGAAGTTAATATATAATAAAATCTTATTCTCTGCATCAAGACGAATTGATTGGTATATAAAAAGTATAAATTGTATGAGAATTTACAGAGTTAATCACAATTAAAGCTGAAAAATTCGCATTTTTATCAAAAAATGAGTTCTTTCAGCAAAATTATGTTGGAAAATAATTTGTTTACTTTTGGAAATAACTGAATTTATGCAATCATTTATAATTTCACCAAAATTCAATTTTTTTTAGTGTTTTAGAGTAAAATTCGTCTATAAATCCACTATTTTTAATAATTAATTAAACACATATTAAAAAATTTAAGAAATTTCAGAAGAATTTGAAATATTAAAATTTTTAAAAACCTAAGTAATCTTTAAAATTTCTAATGAAATTCATTGAAAATTGAAATTTTATAAAATTTCCATTTTCATCTATTTATGAAAATTGTAAACGCAACTCTTTGAAAATTCAATTAATTTTAAACTACATAAGTAAAATTATTATACCAGTACTTAGACTTTTGTAAATGCTTTTGTTTTTTTCAATATTTTTCATATGCATGTATGCAGTTAACCTTTTTTTGCTTATAATAATTTTTACTTTTATTTTCAAAATATAATTTAATATGAAAATGAAAAATGTTTTTAAGTATGTTTATGTACCATACAAAAAGAAACCACACTATTTTAGCTAGTTAAAAAAATAATTTTAAAGATTAAAATATTATTCTCGAAATATTAATTTAATTTGTATAATTATAATAATTGCAATAATTTGCAAATCGGTCACTGAATTTATGTTGAACAAATATTTAATTGAAATATAAATTCACATCTGTGTTCTAACAAGTAATTAAAGAGTTAACGTTTTTGATTAATTACAAAATATGATAGTATATATGTTAGGTTATTAAATTTCCTTTGATGTATCATTTTTATCCTACGAGTAAATTAATGACACTGCAGTATATATACATGAGAAATTCAAAATTATTTGGCCAACCACTTGAGATCTTGCTTTACAAACTTCTCAAGCAGAATATTGTTTCAGAGGAGTGGAACAAAACTTTCTTGGTAATATAGAAAGACAATATACAACAATCCGTTAACAAGGAACAGTCGTATTTGTCATTTTGCAAATGTATCACCAAAAGTTATGTGTCTTTTAATAAAAATATAAATTTATTCAAATGTAAAATTTATGTTGATTTTCGTTAATTTCTTTTATGAAAACATTCATTTTTTATATAAATTTTTATATATTATTGTATTATTTATTAGGGTCAAGTGGAATGAATGCATACAAGGGGCAAACATTATCATTAATTATTTATTTACCAGCTGTAAATTATTATTATGTAAATTACAAATTTTTTTTATTTTTCAATATCAATTTTTAAATAAATTCAGATTGAAAATTAAAAAAATGTACTATTAAATAATTAATTATTTATTATTTTCAATACAATTTTAAAATAAAATTCTTTGAGGCAGTTTAATTATTTTCACAAAAAATAAAATTATTTATTGAACATAAAATTTCACATTTATTTTTTCTAATTACTAAAATCTAGTTTACTAAAATCTAGTAGAATTCATGTAGAAATTCTAAAGAATCGTTCTAGTGAAATTTTATACAGAATATTCATTAAAATTTATGTGGAGTGAATTAATAAAATCAAAAAATTCTAAACAGAACTTTGAGTATTCGTACTTGATAATTAATTTCAAAAAAGTAGCTTTAAGACTGCGAAAAAAGTAGTAAAAAAGTAACTATTGAAATATTAAATTTAACGACGCAATTTTTCATAATTATTAAATAAAAATTACATTCATACTTATTTTTCCACTGGAATTAATTTATTTTAAATTATTTCAATTTTTAATTTAACCTTTTTGAAATTTCACGATTTATAAAAATTACAGAGCTGTAATTCTTGCAAACTTCAAACATTTTTTTGTTGAATTTTTTAATTAAAACTATTGAAAGCTTTAATCATTTTATTTCAAAATAAAAATTTAAATATTATTACAGTCGTTTAAAAACAATTAAAATTTTCAAAGATTTGAATTTAAAAATATTTTGGAATTCAATTATTTTTAAAAATTCACACTATAACGCTTCTAATATTCAATTATTATCTAAAATTTTAACTGAAATTCATATTTAAATCAATTTTTATTAGAAAATTCTAGGAGAATTCAATTATTTAAATACAAAAATAAATAATTTATTAAATAATTAAATAATGC